TACCGTTTGGTGATTCTGAGTATAAGGTACGCAACCCTCGTCGACACACTCCCGATCTTTACAACGTTGTTAACGAGAGACTTGTGGACGATAAATCCGACACCTCCTTGGGACAGATGGTCGCCCTCCCGGTGATAGAGCAAGTTGCCGGATTCGAGGATTACCGTGTCCTCCCCCTCTCTTCGGACTTCGGATAATCCTATAATATGCCAGCGCAACTTGTCTATCTCTTCTTCCAGCTCCACGATCTTCTCGTCAGTCCTCAGGGTGCGTGCGTTGTACGTTGCCAGGTCGAGTCGTCTAAGGTGGCAACCGAACCTCCACCGGAGATTCTTAGCACCCCCTGCCCCGCCGTTACCATGGTCGCCACCGTAGCCAGGAATAGCGGGGCCGCCGGGGACTGGGGGCCGTCTCTTAGTAACTTTATTCATTTGGGGGGTATTTGCCATAGTTGCCACGCTTGGCGAGCGGGTTGGCAACCGCAGTTTTTTTTTTATTGTCTGGCTATTATCAGGAAGATGCTGCTGCCCATCTCCTGCCTGTTTCCCTTTGTCGCCTTTTACGACACCCACGGGAGGATATGGGGTAGTGGTATTCTTGACCGCCACTACACTATTAATTTAGAATATACCAGTTTAATTAAATTTTTATCACAGGTACCTGCAAAAATTCTGCTTTGGCCTAACTAAAACCAGGCCTCTGTCAATCTTGCTATCTGCATGATATAAATACCTACAAACGCGCGTAACCTCAGGTTACATAAGTAGTAAGGGCTAGCGTGTTTTAACCGAGCGACATATTATTGAATTTCAAAGTTTTTTAACACGTAAATAGATTTTTTGTATACACTTATATAAGTGTATACAAAAAATACAATAAACAATAAATAACATTTTTGTTTATTGTTTAGTATATTTAGTTATAGGATAAAATAGTTGGTATAAGTTTAGTGCAATTGATATGTATATTTATGTTTATTATTGAAAATATGTACATACATTCTTTAAAAATTTTGAAAACATAATAATGAAAAAACTAGCAAATAATTTGCTAAAATTATTAACCAATATTCACTCCGTGTTAATGTTTTCTTTCCCAGTATGTACTTAAAATAAGATTTGGAGCTTTTCTTTTTTTTATATTAAAGTAAAACAGTTTTAAATTAAATAAATAAGCAAAAGGTACTATTTATCTACTGTATTTTTTTACTATTTGTTGAAAGCATTGGGTAACCACAAAATATCGTCCGCGACGTTGGAAGGGGAAAAGACACAAAGCCATACGGATACGGACACGCACGCAGCGATAAAATTTAATTTAGCTTGCGTGCATGATGTATCTAAATAATATAGGCTATTAAAATGCCCGCAATTAGTCAAAATCAAAGAAGTGCAACTTCTGTACGTAGTACTATTATTTATGTCTAGCCATCTCATATTTTGGTTAACCAAGAACTCCCATAACTAGTCTTGAACAATATTTAAAACAAGTGATAAAATTAAAAATTTTGTACAACCAACTTTAATATAAATAAAATGAGAACATCAATATAGGTGAAGTCAATTAAATACGCATTATTAAGAATAGCTCAAAAACTACTGGTCAGATCTTGATCAAATTTATATGGGACCACATGAGAAGCACCAGCTGTCAAATAAAGAAACATGAAAATCGGTTTACCTAAAAAAAGTTCTGAGGTAACACATTAAAAAATAGTTGAATTGAGTACTTCCACCTTTTTTGAAGTTGGTTAAATAGGAAAAAAAGAAAGAAAATATTTATCTAGAAATATTGTGGTGTGTTTCTCGCCTATTACCACGTTATAATTTAACCTTTGGGAAATCAGTTGTATCGAAGCCACATATTATTTCATAAAAATCATGTGTTTCATTCCATTATAATATGAAAATTAAAATCTATGTACCAAATCTATGTAGTGCTTGTTTTTATTTATTAAAATATTTATTTATTCCAGTTTTTTTTTGATTAAGTACGATACAGTATTTTTCATGTATAATATGCATTTTACTTGAGCACATTGTGAATTACAAGTTCACTATTAATTTAAATATGGGCTTATAGTTGTGCTTATTTCCAGTGATTTGTAGGAAATAATAATAACAATTTCTTGAATACTACATATTATTTTTGTCTAGATTGAAATTAACACTACATGTACACACTTAAAAAATTTAATTACTTTTATACTGCAAAAAGTATAATACTGGTCCATTTACCAACTGTTTTAGTCTTATGGATGCCATACACGATCAAGTTTACCGTCAAGTTTGCAGTGCATCCATATAGGCCACACACGTTCAAGTTCGCCGTCAAGTTTGCATGATACCGCATCAGTTGAAACCATGGCGTCACTAGTGACGGACGACGATGCGTTAGCCATCCTAGGCTTATTGCTCGCAATTACTTTGCAAAAACAGGTTAATGAAACTAAAAATATTATATCAATAGTAAATAGCAAAAAATGTGAAACAGACAAGTGACGGCTCCGTGGCGCAGTGACTTAGTAATGAGTTGCAGCGCTAAGAGCCGCGGGTTCGAATCCCGGACGTAACAAGTATTTGTATGACCTACAAATAATTGTTCTGGGTCTGTTCTATGTATGTAAACTGTCCCTGCGATACAGAAGAAAATCTTAGTGTGGAAGTAACGTTTTTTTAAAAGAGAGGAAGAGAGACAACTAATGTAATTAAAATTTTTGTACAACCGACTTCAATACGTATACGCATTATTACGGATAATTCCAAAAGTACTAGTCAGATCTTAATCAAATTTATATGTGATGTTTAAATTATAAGCACCAGCTTTCAAATAAAATAGAATCATCAGAATCGATTCACCTAGAAAAAAGTTCTGAGGTTACACACATTAAACAACAGTCGAATTGAGTACCTCCTCCTTTTTTAAAGTAGGTTAAAATGGTAAGTAGGTAAATTATCTGAGTTTCAAAGACGTTCACGTTGTTATAATATTAATTTTCCTCGATGTTGCATATTAACCGTCCTCACATTGAACAATAAAGTTTTGGCTTAGCAATGAGTTGCAACGCTGGGGACGCGGGTTTGAATCCTGCACGGAACAAATATTTGTATTTGTATATGTGTAAATGTTTGACCTCGTGCAATTTATGTTTGTTAACTGTCTCCACGATACAAGAGAAAATCCTAGTGTGTAGGTAATGTTTTTTTAACAAAATAAAAAAAAATATTTATACATTGCATAACACTTCGGTGTATTCTACTATATACCGCGTGTGCGCGTCTTCGCTTGCCGAAGCCGACTAACGTCATGCATACTTGACCGCTCATACACACGGTCAAGTTTACATGACGCTGCAAGCTTGATCAAGTCGGCAGAATCGAAATTCAATTTTTGCTTCAAGTAGACTTGTCATGCACACCCATAGCCATACACGGTCAAGTTTACCGGACGCCGCTTCAAGCGCGCTGCAAACTTGACGGTAGACTTGATCGTGTATGGCTGCCATTATGGTCATCTTGGGTTACTGTGTAGGTATTCACTTCACTTCCTAAATAAGTCAATTGAAAGTATTAAAGCAGGGAAAGTTTTAGAGTAAACAATGTACAACCATCCTCAAAGAGGTCTTGGTGTGCACTGGTTAGAGCAGTTCAAGCATTTGAACTATTCAAATTTGTTTATTTTTCTTCATAAGATGAGAAAGAATACAATTACGAAATATGTTCTAAAAATAATAAGTTTTTTAATTTGATATAATTTTTACACATGCATACAGTTGTGTTAGTGCCATCTGCTTGTTTGCTATGCTTTGCTGCGTGCTATGCTTTTCTTATTGAGTAAAATGTTTCGTTCTGTCTCAACACGGCACTTGACAATATGAACAATTTTTATAAAATGATTGTTTTTGCACAATAATTATATTTCAGTTGATTTAAGTAGATTCAATAAAGTTAAAAAGTACTGCGATGTCAACTTAAAACATTTATGTCATAGTCATTGCCTTGTAAAAAGGCAAGATAAAAATTTTTTGAGTGGCTGCCTTGTACTGGTATGCAGGGTGTGGATTGGCCCTCACTAGATGGGAGTAACAACCTGGTAAGGCATGCAAGATGTTATTGAATACTTTTCTTAGGGGCTGTTTTATAGCAATATATGGGTGAGAGGCCAATGTTCAGCTGTGTACTTTTTGATGGGCTTAAGTTCCAACTTTATCATAATAATCAGAGCTGTTTTGTAGAGATCTATAGGGAGAAGCCTATTTTGTTGCACAAATGGATTAGCTCAAGAACTGTACTTTCACAGAATACAAGCATGAAATAGGAGCTTAATGTTTTTTTTTATAAAAGAGGGGGCAAATGAGCATGCAGGTCACCTGATGGTAAGTGACTTATGTCCCCCATGAACTACTGAGGAAAATGCAAGTGCATTACCGACCTTTTAAAAAGAGTAGGTTCTTTTCTTAAAGTTGTATTGGTCCAGAAAAATCACCAGCGGTACCTATTGTTTCATATGGTACAAGTCGCGGCACGTAAGTCTAGTGCTGAACGAAACGTGGAGGGGACGCGCACGAATTGAAATGCATGAATGCGACTGGAGAACCAATCAGCGGGTGCGAACGATAAGCACGAGCTAATCAGCGCAACTTAATAACGGTCACTACTACCACTCGTGTAGAGAACCAGGGACCCTTTTTACTGTAAATGATTCATTCCACTTTAGCTCTCAGGGGTGACAACAAATTTTGTATTTTGATTCCTAATTGAGCAGGTGTCTATATACCACAGCATTTACTTACCATCAGGTGGACTGTGTGCTTATCACACATATAATTAAAAAAAAAATGTTTGGTTGAAAATGATGGTATGGTACTGAATAATATGTATTACTTTTTCTTTACTCAATAACAAAAAGATTAAATTGACCAAAAAGTTTATTTTTTATAAAAACAATATAAAAAAGTGTAGAGATTTCATCTTATACCTAATAACAGAAACTCAATTAAACTAAGCAGATCTTTCTACAACGGTCCCTTCGGGTTGCCCAAAGTAAGCTTTTGAACACATCTTCACAAAAAGTCCAATTTCAACAACTCCAGGAATCATTTTTACTGATGTATTCACTTGTTCCCAATCTAAATCTTGGTTTGTAAACATCCAATCTAGTATAAAATTACCATTATCTGTGACAACTGGCCCAGCTTTTGCTATAGCAGAACGTAATTTTATCTCTCCTCCATACATTGCTAATACTTTATTTTTTATAGGAACATAAGCCATAGGAATCACTTCAATAGGAATTCCTTTTTTATATCTGTCACCTAGTTTTACAGAATCTTTGGTGTAATCAGCTATGACTATCAGTGCCTTAGAACAAGAAGCAATTATTTTTTCTTGTAATAAACATCCACCTCCACCCTTTATCAAGGTCATATTAGAGTCCACTTCATCTGCGCCATCGATTGTTACATCAATAATTGGGTTGGTATCAAGTTCTCCTAATTTAAGGTTATGTTTCAAAATTAGCTGCTTCGCTTGAAACGACGTTGGTATACACACCACCTTAAGGTGTTCAAGTTCAACTCTTTCCGCCAGACGCTGCACTGCATATACAACAGTTGAACCACTACCTACACCAAAAACGCAGTCACTTTTTACAAATTCGTCCACCGCGCGAAAAGCAGCCACTTGTTTTGCTTTTTCTAAAGACATTTTCCTTACATTGAAGCTCAACCAACTAAATATATATCTAGTGGTGTTACGTCTTCCTATTCTCAATACTTTGCACCCAAATAACATACATAGGTAGTTAAATAAAGCTATTTTTAGAGTTCACAAAATGCATGTGCACTGTGCAGTTAATTTTGTTTTGTTCACATAATATTGTTAGTGTTCACATAACTGGCTTTACGGCTCTGGGTTCTAGCCCTTCTGAGTCTGAAGTTACAATGTATAATTATCCTATACTAAGAAGGCACAGATACACTGCTTCACACTATGTTGATGCATCACATTGTGCAGCTCTTGGGAGACTTTAACAGTGGTAGAGCCACGCGGCAGCTTTTGCTGTCGCACGGATGGCCCGGCTCGAACCGGGGTAGTACCACGACCTCACAGGAAACCAGCGTGAAGTAGAGGTTTACCTCTGCGTTTCGCTTGGTGAGTGCAGGTGGCCGGAGGCCTTTTTTACTGGAAATGAGGCATTCCATCTTAGTCCTCACGGGTGACAACGCATCTACATTTTGATTTGTAACAGACGATAGATGTAGATGTCTATGGGCCGCAGCAACCACTTACCATCAGGTGGACTGTGTGCTCGTTAGTCACCCTTATCCTATTAAAAAAAAAAGATTTTGACGGCAACTTGAGCCAGCAGACAGCTGACATTTGGCGATGGTATCTCAAGGCGCCTAAACAGACAGACACCTTATCTTGAGAATAATCACCATCAGAGCACTTGTTTCACCGTTTTCACTAATAGTTCACATGCGCAGACACTTAATACCCAAAATCGACCACTATTACATATCAAAATCCACTTCAAACCATTATTTAAACAATAATACAGGAGCAGCAATCCGCCGCCAGTCTAGTTCCCGCCAAAACTCGTAGGTATATGGATGTGGAGGAAGCGAGAAAGGTGTGTGAGGATCGTTCCAAATAATAATAATAATAATAATTTTTATTGCTCAAAACAATACAATTTAAACTAAATGGTGAAAGGAGTCCCCTTTTAAGCCTGTGACAGGGGGCACCGCTCTTTCTTAAGTTTATAATTATCATGAAGCTGATAGTTTTAAAGCAATACTACAATAAAATTAAAACTAAAATTAAAATTAAAACTTTACCCAGTTCATATATAAAAAAATTAAGTAAAAAGAAAAGAAAAAAGATGTGTGTGTGTGTGTGTGTGTGCGTGCGTGCGTGCGTGCGTGCGTGCGTGCGTGCGAGCGTGCGTGCGTGCGTGCGTGCGTGCGTGCGTGCGTGAGTGCGTGCGTGCGTGCGTGCGTGCGTGCGTGCGTGCGTGCGTGCGTGCGAGCGTGCGTGCGTGCGTGCGTGCGTGCGTGCGTGCGTGCGTGTGTGTGTGCGTGAGTGTGTCTGTGTGTGTTTGTGAAAGTGCACTAGCCATATGAATGAAATACACACCACTATAATGTGGATATTCTTTTTTACTTTGTCTAGTCAAAGTTTCTGTTTGCTCATAGTTTTTTGTTTCTAACCATTTTTACAAAAGCTTTTCACAATCAAGGTATGTTTTACCATATATATATATAGGTATTTGTTACTACTTTTATAAAGATACGCCGAACGAGCAATATACTGCATGGTAGCAAGAGTAGTATTTGATTTCGGAATATCTATTATTATTTGCCTTCTTTTTGTAGCCTTAACTGGGTCATATATAATAGTTTTATGCTTTTTGAGGATGGTTTGTGATATATATAGTTTCCTAACTGAAAGGAGTCGACTACTTTGGTATAGTTTCTCTGTCGAGAATCTTCGCTCTTTGAAAAACATAATCTTTATGAGGCTGCGCTAAGCTCGTTCGAACTCAAGGTTTTAGCAGCTCCACCCCATATAGGTATGCAGTATATAAGTATTGACTGTACCAGAGATATATAAATATCCCTGAGAAGACTTCTATTCATATCTCCTGGCTTTGTATCTGCTTTTGGCACTACATGCCGCAATGTCTTGAAAATCCACGTAAGTTTTCTTATTTTTTTTTATTATTTTTTATAGGATAGGGCGACAAACGAGCACACAGTCCACCTGATGGCAAGTGGTAACTGTGACCCATAGACACCTACATCTATCCTCAACAAAGACTCAAGATGCAGATGCGTTGTCACCCGTGAGTACTAAGATGGAATGCCCCTTTGCCAGTAAAAAGGGTCTCCGGTTCTCTACACTCACCATACGAAACACAGCAGCGTTAAGCTGCTATTTTACGCTGGTTTTCCGTGAGAGCGTGGTCCCTCCCCGGTCGAGCCGACCCATTCGTGCTACAACCATAATATAACTGCAGCATGGCTCTACCACGTAGAGCCATGCTGCAGTTATATTATTTTTACACTTTATTCTTTTAGTGACGTGTTCAAGATGTGTGTACAAAGACAATCTTTGGTATAATAATACACCCAAGTATTTTACCTCTTCTACTTTATGCATAGTAGGTCAATGGCAGTTTTGTCTATCTGTTGTACTCTTACATTTATGTATATTTACCTCAAAATGGTCAGGTTGAGTGTTGTTGTTAATGCTAAAAGAAACGTAACTACTTTTAGCAGTGTTTAGTGTAAGAAGATTACAACACAGCTATTTTCCTATTTGCTGCAGACCCTTTTCTGCGTTCTCTTTTAACTTTCTTCCAGGAACTCCCAGTAAAAACAACGGCAGTGTCATCTGCGTAGGAGAATATCTTAGCGTTCTTGATTGTCATGTTACACAGATCATTTAAATATATTAAGAAAAGTGTGGGTCCAAGAACACTTCCTTGAGGGACACCGAACGACACGTTTGTGCTCTCACTGATATAATTTCCCAATTTGACCATCTGCTTCCTATCTGTCAAATAGTCACTAAACAGTCGAAGTGGGGTTCCTCTAATACCGATCCGTTCCAGTTTGTGTATAAGGATAGGAAGAGAAACAGTATCAAACGCCTTTTGCAAATCTAAGAATGCTGTCATGCATTTATTATGGTTATCCACTTCTCATCACTTCTATCCCAATGGAAGTCCATAGTCTCTGCCTACCCCTCTGGGTGACAGGCGTGAGTGTTTATATATTTTTTATCATAAATTGGTAGAATTAAGATTTAGCATATCATTTGTAGGCTCCAGTTTCGTACAGCACGCTCCATCTTCTTCTAAACTCATCTAAAATCGTAATATTGACGATAATAAAGATAGATTCATGCGATTACGAAGCTTAGTTTTAGTAACGGCTACTGTTGTCTGTATGCTCTCAGTGCTAGTGATGCTAGATTTTTGAAAATAAAAATCTTTTACAAAGGTATTCATGGGTACTCAGCATCGAAGCAAAAGTATCGATACCAACGAGGAATCGATTATTTATTGTGTCCCTAGTCCCTGCTCATTTATTATCGTCGAACAACACTATTATTTATTTTCCGTTTCCTTTCTGTTCTTTTTTAATATATACATTATGAAAGCATTATGGCGGCTATGCACGCTCGTCAGGACCATGAAGTTGTCAGGACATCACGAGACAGGCTGAATACAAGTGTGTACATGGTGAGTCGCGTCCCGTCTCGCGGCCCTCGTTCACTCTCGGAAGCGTGTCGGCTTTTGCGCTCGACTCGGGAGTCTCACGATGAAAACGAGAGCGCGCCTGTGCACACTCGTTCGTTTAGTTGCAATGGTTCTGACCATCCACCATCTTCTTCTTCGCCATGGTTTCGCAATTGTCTTTTTATGGTAAATGTGTAAAAAATTATAATACTAGCACAAAGGAAAACGCTGCAACAGCTTCTTCTTGGTTCATCGCTGCGGACATCTGGAGTTTGAGTGATACAACGAGTGTGTACATGGTGTAAAAAAACCTTTACCTCTCGTGTCGAGCCTCTACGCGACGAGAAGCACGCGAGACTACGAGACGAGCGTGTACAACGGCTATTATATTTTAATGTGACTTACCAGTTCTTACTAGCGATGGGTAGTAGCTGCTTTTTTGAGTAACGAAACGAAACTATCTTTCGCTTAGGCTTTTGTTACATCAATAGAGTGTAACTGAAAAACGTGGCGAATGAAACGGAAGCCGTTTCACGAGAAAGCTTGTTTCGTGTTCCCGTTTCGTTAAGGTTACTGTTATCGAGATTTTAGTGTTAAGAAGATTTATATTGCAATGATATTTCATTCATGCCTTATCCAGGCTTAGGACTGGCCGGTGACGAGTTGATTAAGAAACAATTAATACTTAAATTAGGTAAATATTAAAATAATAAAACATATTATATACAATTGTATTCTATTCCTAACTTACTACAAATATTATTATTGTTGCACAAAACAAAATTTACTAGATTAGCAATCACGCCTAAAAACAAATCGTGTCATCAAATACTAAACGAATTTAGATTGGGTCAAGGCCACGCAAATTGAAGCAATTCGAAAATATTTTTTATTTAAAAACATGCACACTTACTTTCTGATTTCTAATATCACATTTATCTGAAGGTAATAGAGTCATAGGTCAAATGCAAAAGCAATGTATTTGTAGGTGGGTGTGAAAGAGACGAAACGTGTCACCCGCGCTCACTCGACATTCAATGGCCGGTGGTATTTCAACAGTCGAAGGCGCTGCCGATGCGCCGCGAAAATAGCCGAATAAACGATTAGTTACATTTCGTTCTGATCGCTCGTTCATGAAACGTGAATCGTAGTGAACCGTGTTACTGACTGTAATAGATAGCTTCGTTGGACTGCAATAACCCGCTACCCGCTACCCGCTATCGTATGAATAGATAGTTTCAATAACTGGTTACGTTTTGTAACGACCACTCCCAGGTCTTAGGTAGGTTGTAGATTCAGTAGGTAGGTAGGTCTTGCCTTGCAGCTGCACGTATATATATATATATATATATATATATATATATATATATATATATATTGTTACGGCGTGCAGCTGCCTATCCAAGAGTAGGATCTTCCCGGCCCATGAAGGAAGAACCTACAAGCAGATGCAGGT